TTCATGTTGCTTCCCTGTATTGACCAACCACATAGGGTGACGACGATGGCACAGAAGGAAAAGGAAAGGTGGCTCCCTTTGCTTTCAACCTTCCTTTACTCCTCAGAAAAAGGAAAGTCGAGTTTGGGTAGAATGTGCCTATATCAAGACATGAAGGGGCTGAGCATGGTGGTTCACTTCTCTAATTCCAGCACTTTGGGAGGCTGAGGTGAGAGAATCACTTGGGGTCAGGAGTTTGAGACCAGCCTGGGCAACATAGTAATAAAGACCCTGTCTAAACACACACACACACACACACACACACACACACACACACACACACACACACAATGAAATTAAAATAATTCAACTAATTTTGTACTCTGTCTTAGCTGTACTGGTAAGAACAAATACACATGCACGTATAAGCTACAAAATACAAATTGCATAATAGCGATTCCACATGTAAGTTAAATGTCTCTATTTGCATTTAAAACTGGAAAGGCACAATGCCAAGATGAGCAGAATTTATGCTAATCACTTAACATTTTAATTTTTCTTACAAAGTTAAATAGCAAGTAAATAAAAACCATGACAGAGAGAGAGAGTGGCGAAAAGGCTTTATATTTTAGCGACTTTAATGGCATTTTTCTCCATGTTTTTATTTTGCACTGGTGCAGATGCCGGAAGTCCTTTGAAGAAGTGATCCACACTGGAATGAGTGTCTGGGACTTAAGCAGTAAGGTCCCTGGTTCTGGAAGATTTCAAGCAGGAATTGGATGTCTATAAGAAACGTGGCGGAAGATTCCCGACATAAGTACAGTCATCCTCAAGACTCCCTTTAAAGCTAATGATTCCATAACTTTTAGTGGGGGAGTGAGAGGTCCACAATCTCTTCTCTGATACCATGGGGACCAGATTATTCCAGAATCCAAGACTTTCCATATCTTATAATGTATGCTTATAGCTTACATTATGTAACATCCCTGGGGGAGTCTGGGAAGCACCCCAAAGTTAAACACATCTCTGGAGCAAACCATAAGCGGGTGATAAGCACAAACCATGAAAAGCCTCATGTCAGGTTAACAAACTCAGGGCAGCCCAGATTATCCCACCAAATGTGGGAAGTCTGTTGGAATGTGAAGCTTTTGGACTCTCAGATAAGGGATTATGGATCTGTATGTGAACTCTTAAAGCATTTCACAGACTTGGAAAAAAACAAAACAAAAATCCCAAACAGTGTATTCACGGAGGCACCTGAGATGTCTTTAAATTTCATGATGGGGCCGGGCGAGGTGGCTCATGCCTATAACCCCAGCACTTTGGGAGGCCGAGGTGGGATCATGAAGTCAAGAGATAGAGACTGTCCTGGCCTATATGGTAAAACCCTGTCTCTACTAAAAATACAAAAATTAGCTGGACATGGTGGCGCATGCTTGTAGTCCCAGCTACTCAGGAGGCTGAGGCAGGAGAATCGCTTGAACCCAGGAGGGGGAGATTGCAGTGAGCCGAGATCATGCCACTGCACTCCAGCCTGGTGACAGAGCGAGATTCTGTCTTTAAAAAAAAATTCATGATGAGAAGAAAGAAATCAGCACTTGTACACTGGTTTAGACCTGATGAAAATGCATGGGGCTTCACTGTCTGTTGGACGCTCACCATGACCTTATGAAAGTAGATGCATCATCTCCCTCCTTTGCCGGCGGGGAAACTGAAGCTTACACACAGCCAGCATCACACAGGACATGCTAGTGCCTGTGTGGGAACACACAGATTTGGGACTGCAAATGCCAGACTTTTTCTACAACCTCAAAAACCTCCTAAATGGTACCCAGTGAAGGTATTTTAGGCAGTGCTGCTATAGAGGGGGACGCCCCTGTCTAGCTGTTGAAGGTTGGAGTTCTTCCTTATAAGGTGATATGTAACCAAGGCCCTAAGCCTGTGGAGGTCTCCAGCCTTATCCTGCTGCCCCAGAGTGCCCCAGACTCTCCCACAGTGTAGTAACTGTGCAAAGGGTAGACACCTGGCAGAAAAGGGACCCTGGGGCCAGAGACTATACCCTATGGTAGCTACATATTTGGAATATCACACTGACTAGAGGTGTGCTGAGGTACTGACTGTCCTTGAGTACATTACCTTCACTAAGAAGCGTGCACTCCCCTCCCCCCAGGTATGTCCTATGTGTGTTTAGCTGAGAAAAAAGCTGGGAAGCTCCGCACAACTGCACGCTGGGTTATTCCATGCTTACATGAGAATCACAGCTGCCTGGAGCTCTTGGAAACACAGGCTCCTGGGCGCCATCCTGACCTATTGCAGAATCAGAATCTCCTGACCCAGACCCGGGTGTTTTGTGCACAAACGTTCCAGCTGAGTGCCGCAGTTGGGCAAGTCTGGAGATCTCCATGACACTCCATTTACGTTGGTAAGAAGGGTCTGATCAACCCATTCAAATGTGCGGAGACAACAGTAAGCAGCTCTCTCTGGGTCTCATGCATAAGCAAAGGTAGAGACAAAAGTTCCCAGCTCTAATGGTTTCCACATTTCTTTTGTCAGTGTATATGTGTATCTTTCCAAGGATGCCATGCCTTGCACCACATCCTGTAGCAACTGGGCTATGCCCACCCCACCCAGGCTGGCCGGGTGCTCAGTGAACACATTCTCCACTATGCTTCACGCCACCCCATTGTGGAGATCTCAGAAACACTGGGTTCCCCAGGTGACATTCAACCCCAAATGTCCATTTGTCATGCTCGCTTCTAAATTGGCTTGTTTTGGCAACCATCTGATGTTTCTAAACATTCTAAACATGGGGAAGTTCTCGCCACGTCCTCTTGTCTGAGTCTTGAGAAATCTGCGCAGGAACTGGTAGCCTAGCTACAGAGAGAAGGTTTTTTCCTCTTCCTTTTCCCTTTGAAGCTGCCTGTGGCTGCACCCAAACACTGCAGAGGCAGCCATGGCTATGTGTGCTCTGTATCCTCAGCCAGTTCTGGATCAAGAGCCTGCTTGACTTTTTAAGGTTCCTATTCTTATGAAGGATAAGGAAGTGTGGGGGCATATGGCATCTTTGCTGGGGACATTTTCAGCCCCCGATGCCGCCAAAAGGAAGTGAATTTCTTTTCTGTTTGTATCTCAGGAAATAATCTGTCGCATTTGGAATCATTTCAGAAATATCTACTGCTCATAAACTTTCTGCTCCTTCACCCCCTGATCTGTCGATTCTACATTATAGAGGGATGGAAGAATGGATTAAGTAGCATAAAATACTGTTAAGTTCTGTAAAATGAGGATCCACATTTTGTTGTAGAAATGGGTTGGAATCGAAGCCCAGCACCTCACTGTAATGTAATGAGGTGTAATCATTGTAATCCCAGCATTTTGGCTGTGTGCCCTTATAAAGTTACTTAACTTCTCTGAATCTTGGAGATAATTGTAGCCACTTGTAAAAATGGTCATAATCCTCCACTCCTCCCTAAATGCTCACCGTTGGCAGTGGGCTTTGCAGTTCCACCCATTGAGAAGTGATGTCTGTTTCCCATTCTCTGAATCCGGCCTTTTAACTTGCTTCAGCCAGTGGAATAATAGTTGCTGGTTCTGAGTCCAGGTTCTAGGAGACACATTGCACACATCTCTCTTGCAACTCTGCCCAGCTGCCATTTGATAAATTTGGCCTGGCTTGCTGGAGGCTGAGAGACACGTGGAGCCGAAAGGAACCATTCCAAGGAAGGCCATTCTAAATCAGCCAGCCTCCAGTCGACCCAGCACTGAGTACAAAGGCAAAGGTAAACCCAGCTAAGGTTAGACATATCGCCCAGTTGAGCCTCACCCATCCAAACTGTCCACCTGCAGAATGGTAAGCTATCTAAGTGGTTGTTTTTTAAAGTCACTAGTGTTGGATTGGCTTATTATGCAGGAAAAGCTAACTAATATAATATACTTGTCTTTCAGCGCTCCTGTGTAAATAATATTAGGTATCACACACGAAACACCTGAATCCATACATACTGACAAGCAGAATTGGTTTGAATGGATTGCTAACCAAGCTGCATATCCATAATTGCATACTTCCTGGGTAGAACGTGTAAGCATCAGTGTCCATAACCTATATTGAAAAATAAATGCATTTCTTTATAAAGATATAATGACAGTGTAGATAGAATGTTTTAAAAAGAATCCATAAAATGTGCCTATCATCCTACTGCCTTTACCATAAGGTCCACATATCTTAGCAGGACTGCAAATTCCTTGTTACCTACATTCATATAGATGACATCTAAGACATTCATTATGTAAAACTTCCTTTTAATTTTGGTCCTTGATATGGTTTGGCTGTGTCCCCACCCAAATCTCATTTTGAATTGTAGTTCCCATAATCCCCATGTGTTATGGGAGGGACCCGGTGGGAAGTAATTGAATCATGGGGGCAGGTTTTTCCCATGCTGTTCTTGTATTAATGAATAAGTCTCATGAGATCTGATGGTTTTAAAAAGCGCAATTCTCCTGCACATACTCTCTTGCCTGCCACCATGTAAGACGTGCCTTTGTTTCTCCTTCTCCTTCTGCCATATTTGTGAGGCCTCCCCAGCCATGTGGAATGGTGAGTCCATTAAACTTCTTTTTCTTGGCCAGGTGTTGTGGCTCCCACCTGTAATCCCAGCATTTTGGGAGGCCGAGACAGGCAAATTACCTGAGGTCAGGAGTTCAAGACCAGCCTTCCAGACATGGTGAAACCCCATCTCTACTAAAAATATACATCTATAGGCACACACATATAATACCAGCTACTCAGGAGGCTGAAGCCCAAGACTCACTTGGACCTGGGAGACAGAGGCTGCAGTGAACCGAGATTTTACCACTGAACTCCAGCCTGGGTAACAAGAGTGAGATGCCATCTCAAAAACAAAACAAAACAAAACCTCTTTTTCTTTATAAATTACCCAGTGTCAGGTATTTCTTCATAGCCATATGAGAATGGACTAACAAAGTCCCTAAGGAAACAAAAAACTCAGAGGTAAAATGTGTTTTTTATCAACTTTATTGAGGTATGATTTACATGTATATAAATTATAGTGTACAGATCGATGAGCTTCGATAAATGAGTTCACTATATAACCACCACCTCAATGAAGACAAAAGCATTTCAGGTATCCCAAATGCTTCCCTTGCACCCTTCCGCAATCAATTCCACTCCTATCGACAACTCCAGCCTACCATTGATCTGATTTCCATCCCTATAAATGGATCATGCCTGTTGCAAGACTTCTCAGGACTGCAGCCACATACCCTTTCCTGATTGGCTTTTTTCACCAAGGGTAATGTGTTTTTGAAATTGATCAATGTTGTGTGTATCAGTAATTCATTCCTTTTTATTGCTGAGCAGTCCATTGGCTGGCTATACTACAATTTGTTTATCTGTTCATCTGTTGATGGACTTGGGGTTGTTTTCAGTTCTGGTCTTTTATGAATAAGGCCGGTAGAAACATTTTTGTATAAGCATTTTCTTGGCATGTGTGTGTGCATGTTTTCATTTTGTGAGGGACTAAATACTGAGAAATATAATGGCCGGGTTATAGGGTAAGTACATATTTAACTTTGTAAGAACTGCCGAAGTGTTTTCCAAACCTCCATACCATTTTACACTCTTGCCATTAGGGCATGAGGGTTCTGTTAGCTTGGTGCAAACATAGTTGTGGCTTCTGCCATTAAAAGTAGTTTTTGCACCAAGGATAGTAGTAGCCTGTTTGTCAGACATATATACTGTGACGATTTTCTTCTTGTTTTCTTACTTTCTTAATAGTGTCTTTTGAAGAAATTTTGAATTTTTATGAATCCTAATTTATCATTTTTTTTCTTTTATGTTCAGTGCTTTTTGTGTCTTAAATCTTTGCCTACTACAAGGTCATACATTCTTCTGTTATCTTCTGGAAGTTTTATAGATTTAGCTTTTATGTCTATGGTTTATTTCACACAGATATTGTGTGTGCTGTGGGGGTAGAGGCTGAGGTTGGTTTTCTTTCATTTGGCCAGCTAGTTATTCCAGTGACGTGCTCGAAAATATTATTATTTTCTCATTGAATTACATTACACGTTTGTTGAAAATCAATTGTCTAAATATGTGTGGTTCTAATTTGGTTCTCCATCGAATTCCTGCAACAAATCACTGCAAACTTTGGCGGCCGTAAACAACAGAAACTTATTCTCTTACTGTTCCGAAGGCTAGAAACCCAAATCGAAGTGCTGGCAGGGCCATGCTACCTCCAAAGCTCCAGGGAGAATCCTCCCTTGCTGTTCTAGTTTTTCCTGGCCCCTTCTGTGAATCGTGTGCTACAGCTCATCCCGACCTCGGTCAAAACCCAGGCCTCCTCCCCTGAGGCAGTTTGCACAACCCGGCCAGTGCTAATTCAGCCGTGCAGTGCCCTTTTGCTCTGATGTGGAATGACTTAAGTCAACTGAGTTCAACAGTTGTTTATTGTGGTCTGCAATGTTTGGTTGGAGGGATTCAAGATTGAAATACAACAACAAAACATTCTTAAGTCATGGTAATTGCTCCTAATAAGGGAAGAGAACACTCCCATATTAATCTTTCCAAAATGCAGCTTCCGAATCGTCGGTGGTCTTCAGAAAACCTGCTGCTTCTTAGTGCTTTGCTATCCCAACACAACCTGTCTGTTCAGACTTCTTCCCCTTTACAGAGTCCGCCCCCCCAATATCTGAGGTTCTGCTTTCCCTGGTTTTAGTTACTTGTGGCCAACAGTAATCCAAAAATATTTAATGGAAAATTCCGGAAATAAACAATTCATAAGTTTTAAACTGCATACTCTTCTGAGTAGTGTAATAAAATAGCTTGCCATCCCACTCTGTACTGTCCAGGAAGTGAATCATCCCTCTGTCCAGCATTGCCACATTGTATACTCTACCCCTGCCTTAGTCACTCAGCAGCCATCCCAGTTATCAGATCGACTGTGGCAGTGAGGCAGTGCTGTGTTCTAGTCAACCTTACTTTACTGAATAATGGCCCCAAAGTGCAAGAGTAGTGGTACTGACATTTTGTAAGAAGCATTCTATTTTATTATTAGTAGTTATTGTTGTTAATCTCTTATAGCAACTAATTTATAAGTGATACTCTATCATATGAAAAAACATTGTATACATAGGGTTCCATACCAGCCTCAGTTTCAGGCATCCACCGGGAGGTCTAGAAACATATCCCTCCTTGATAAGGGGCACTACTGTCCTCTCTCATCTCGCCACACCTATATCCTCCCACCCTAGTCAATTCCTCCGTCTGCAGCTCTGCTTATCCCTGTGAAGTTTTTGCTTGTGGCTGTAATGAAGGCTGTTGGGTATTCAGGTCTAGGGTTGAGCACAGCAATGTGGGCTGGGGCCTTGGATCTGCGATTTTCAGCATAGAGATGTGTATTGGTTTGCTGGGGCTGCCATAACAAAGGACCACAGACTAGGTGGCTTAGAGGCATTTATTTGCTTGTGGTTCTGGAGGCTGGAGGTCTGCAATCAAGGCGTCAGCAGGGTGAGTTTCCTTTGAGGCCTCTCTCGTTGGCTTGCAGACGGCCACCCTCTTGCTGCCTTTACACATAGTCCTTCCTCTGTGCATGCGTGCCCTGGTGTCTCTGTGTGTTCTAATCTCTTCTTCTTACAATGATATCAGTCAAGCCTGGGCAACGGAGAGAGACACCTTCGCTACAAAAAAGAAAAATAAAAACAAAATTAGCCATGCCTTTAGGCCTAGGTACTCAGTAATCCAAGGCAGGAGGATGACTTGAGTCCAGGAGTTTAATCCATTTATGCCTAGTGTTCCATTATTGGAATGCTAAGCTTGTGGGAGTTATTTATATCCTACTGCTTAAGGTCATCGCCAAGGTCTTATTTTTCACAAAAATTTTGCAACTTCCAGCATAAATAATAAGGCTGCAGTGAGCTGTGATCTCTCCACGGCACTTTAGCCCGGGGGGACAGAATGAGACCTTGTCTCTAAAGATAAAAAGACTGGATTAGATTAGCGCATACCTTAAAGGCTTCGTTTTAACTTAATCATCTGTTTAAAGGTCTTATTTCTAAACACAGACACATCGTGAGGTACTGGAGATTAGAGTTTCTGTATAAATTTGGGAGGAACACGATTCAGTCTATACCCAAGAATGTGCCTAAGTTATGGGAATGGATGATTTTACCGAGGGAGGACGAAAGAGGGGCTGCAAACTCCATGTCAGAGAGATTAATGAGCAAAGTGGGCGGGTACCAACATAATGGCATCGTAAGTCATATTCTTTTGGCACAGATACACGTTAACTATTATTCTCATTTTTTAAAAATGTCAAAACAAAGAAATGTTCTTTCTAATTTCCTTAAAACAAGCTTTCCTTCCAGGATATCTCTTAGTTTCAGACTTTCTTTTTTTGACAGGTTGTTGAATTTTTTTATCAGGCAACCTCGGCACTTAGAACTAGTTCTCCGACGAAAGAAAAACAACACTGCAGATCCCTGGGGGATGCAGGTGCTGCTCAGCCTCAGCCTGGGGGGCTACAGGAGTGCATGGCGGTGACGACTGATAACCAAGAGTGTACACTGCTATAGGGTGTCTGCCACTAGTCCATGCTGCTGGATTTCTGGTATTTCAAAGAAAGCTGAAAGTGCATATTTACAAATGTACATTATCCTCATTTTGGAAAATTATCTCAGCTCTTTTAAAAAACACTGTGAAATAGAAGCAAACACATCATCAGGCTGTATTTGGAGCGTGAGCCATCCATTTCTAACCTTAGATGTAAAGTGAGACAATAAGAGAAACTGGAGGTCTGAGCACTAGACAGAGCTCAGAGGAATTCTGTCTTTCTTTTTTTGAGATGGAGTCTTGCTCTGTTGCCCAGGCCGGAGTGCACTGGTGCTATCTCGGCTCACTGCAACCTCCTCCTCCTGGGTTTAAGCGATTCTCCTGTCTCAGCCTCCTGAATAGCTGGGATTATAGGTGTACGCCACCACACCCAGCTAATTTTTGTATTTTGACTACAAAATGGGCCACTTCATGAATGGCCCCTCCAATTGGCTACTGTTTGTAGAGACTGGGGTTTCACCGTGTTCATCAAGCTGGTCTCGAACTCCTGACCTTGTGATCCACCCGCCTAGGCCTCCCAAAGGGCTGGGATTACAGATGTGAGCCACCATGCCTGGCCAGGAATCCTGTCTTAAATGAAAGCTGAAATTTTTCTATCTTTCATGAATGAGCTACCAAACATAACCAGATGCTGAAACCATCAGCTGAAAGGTTAAAGAGGGACCTCCTATGGAGGGACCTTAACTCACAAACTATGGAAGAACAGATGTTATATATTCCTGGTCTGATGCAATGGGAAGTGCCCAGTGTCACCTATAAGCTTTTTTGCCCAGATCATTCAACTCAAATCTAATCAAGCCTCTAGATCTAATTTCCAGCCTATAGGGAATTCAAAGGTGAGAGGAATCCAGTAAAGGACACGACAAGAATGTGCTCAATCACATCCACCATGTGGGGAATTTCACAGTTTTCTATAAATTCTGCAAATGACCAGGTTTTCTTCCAGAGGTAAAAAGGGGAGAGGGACGATTACAGATTTTGAAAATATTTAAGACGCATATTAGCCAAAGACAAAGCATAGGTCACATGGGGTTCGCGTTTGAACAGTTGTTTGCAAAAAACACTTTGAGATAGCTGGAGAAATGTGGACTTTGGCTATGCATCAGCAGACATTGAATCGCTCGTAATTTTATTATATGTGATTACTATTTTGGAGCTATGCACTTTCAAAAGCTCTCTCTGTCAGAGATTCAAATGGAAGTATTTGTGGGTGAAATGATCAGACATCTGGGATTGGCTTTAAAAATCTTCAAGAAAAATTAAACAGGGAAGAGGCAGAATGGATAAAATAAGATTAGCAAAGTGTCAATAATGATTAGTAAACATGATGGATACATGGGAGGTGTTACTGTATTATTCTTTCTACTTTTATGTATATTTTTAGAATCCTTAAAAAAAAAGGAAAAAAATAGCACCAAGCTCAGCTAGAGCAGGGGACCCTTGCAGAGAGATGGGAAAAGCCCCAGGCATCGTCCTTTCCTGGCTGCCACGTCTCGGAACAGTGCTTGGACACTCTCCTTTGACCTGCACCCACAAACTGCCTTGTTCTATCTTTTTAGTCTTTCTTTTGGCAAACACTGAAAGCAACTGCTATGTGGTTATGGCTGGGCAAAGGGCTGAGTTAAAAAAAAATCATTTTCATGAAGAAATGTTCTTTTCCCTAATTTTCTTTTCTTTTCTTTTCTTTTTTTTTTTTTTTGAGACGGAGTTTCACTCTTCTTACCCAGGCTGGAGTGCAATGGCACGATCTCGGCTCATGGCAACCTCCACCTCCTGGGTTCAGGCAATTCTCCTGCCTCAGCCTCCTGAGTAGCTGGGATTACAGGCATGTGCCACCATGCCTAGCTAATATTTTATATTTTTATTAGAGATCGGGTTTCACCATGTTGACCAGGATGGTCTTGATCTCGACCTCGTGATCCACCCGCCTCGGCCTCCCAGAGTGTTGGGATTACAGGCGTGAGCCACCGCACCCAGCCTTCCCCTAATTTTCTTGATATAAACTTCTCCTGTTTCTCTGAGTACGTGGGGCCTATGAGCTGGATCCTCCCAATGAGTGAGGAAGCCCCCTGATGGCAGGAGACTTGCCTTATTCCTGTGAACTCTGTTGCTCCAAAACACCACTGCCATTTACTAGCTTGCTGTGTGCCAGTCATGGTGCTAAATACTTACTATGGAATTTAAATTTTTGATGTTTTGCATGGTTTATTTTGCATTAATTTGGAATTTTTAAAACATTGCATTAAAAAATATTTACTTTCATTACCACAGCTGTGTTTTGGCACCCTTTAGATTTTGTGGGGTGGTTAGTACCTAACTTGGCTCACCTAATCTTGGCCCCGCATGGAAGTCACAATACTTACTCCCAAACTATAGGAATATTTGTTATTCTAGTGGTGAATGTTCTGGAACCCTCTTTGGCACCTTGCAGGCATCAGTAGTCAGAGCAGGGCAGACAGAATTAATTAATAGAACACTGGGTGGCATTTGGGAACTATAGGTCTCACCAAAGCCTGATTCTCAGCATCTTACTTAAAATACAAATCAAAAGCTAGGAAGATGGGGAAGAAGGAGGACAGTAGGTTCTCTTTCTTGAAGTCAAGGGCTTTCTACTGCCCTGAATGGATCACTTCATTAATGGCTCCTTTAACTGACTACTGTTTGTTTTCAAGGAACCAGGATTCCTCTGGGCTTGTGCCTTCTGGAGCTGTCTTCTTGTCAGAGTAGGTCGTTAGGCAGACATGAGCAGGGCAGGAGAGGCCCCACCACCACAACTGACACTCAGGAAACCCAGGTGACCATCAGGTAATGGTCAGGTGGTTGTTAAACTGTCTCTCTAAAATGATAATTGGTTGCAACTGGCACTGGGGAAAGGCAGTCTCCTAATAGATAGAAAATTACTGAAGCTGGTGATCAGCAGCTTCCTGGTAAGATCTCAGGAGTGGGCTGAAGCATGCACATGGGCAGAGTTTAACTGGTATCTGATCTTCCCCCAGGAACACTCGACTCGTAAGGGAACAGCACCTCAAATGAGCACGCACATAAGTTCAGTAAACTGTGCATGCAGTCCCTCCCAAGTGCTGGCACACGAGGATAGCCCACCCCAAGGGGAGAATCGGAGGAGGAGAGATGCTGGAATCATGCTAATGTATAAAACTGCAGGTCAAGGACTAAATGGCATTTAAATCTCTCAAGTCACCTCCTTGGCCTTCTTTCAAGTGTACTTTACTTCCTTTCATTCCTGCTCTAAAACTTCCTGATAAACTTTCACTGCTCTAAAACTTGCTTTGGTTTCTCACTCTGCCTTATATCACTCAGATGACATTTTTTCCCTGAAGAGGCAAGAATCAAGTTGCTGCAGACCCACACGGATTTGCTGCCGCTAACGCACTTTGGTGTCATTACTCGGATGTATGCCCCAATGGTAAGATACCGCTAGGACTCACCTTTTGGCTGGGGTCGTTTAACCCTCATGGGTGGTTTTCTTCTCCCCTTTTACTTTTCCGCTTACTAACCAACCCCTGGAATAATTCCTCTCAGCCACAGTGGCTCTGTTCCTCAGGGCTGATCTCTCAGGAGACCTATTGCCATTATTAATTCAAGAACATCTTGGAGAAATCACTTGCAGTCAGATGTCAGTTGGTGCAGAAAAATCTCTCCCTCTCATACACCATGTGACCATCTGCTTGTCTTTAAAGCTTTTAGATAGATAAGCCCCAAACCAACTTGGCCTCCATTTCTGTAGCTATGGAAGTGGATTCTGGCTCGAATCGCATAGACATGGGTTTCCCTTTGCTACAAGTCACATGGTAGACCTGTAGCCTCAGTATACAGATGAGAACTAGGGAGTTGGCAAGATAAATTATTGAGAAGTACTGTGAATGATTCTTTTGTCAAAATTTAAAAAGAAAAGAAAGGCAGGGGGTAGAAATGCCAGTCAGCTCAGAGTTTGTAGGTGGCTCCCAGGGAGAGCTCCATCAGGGACCTGCCAGGGAGCGCCAGAAGGGTAAGTTGCTGGGAGGGGCTGAGGACACAAGCTCAGGGTAATGTGTGTAGTGTGTGCCTCCTC